CTTCGTTTTGCTTCATCTTCTTGATTCTAGCTTTGGCTTTAGCTTTGGGTCTACACTTAGACTAACAATCTCCCACTTCGAGACCAAACCGCCATCAGCGAGCTCTCCCGAACTCTCTCCTTCTTCGTAAGTATCTTCTCCTCCCCAGAAAATCCTTTCTTTAATCATCAGCATCCCAACGATCTTGCTGATCCTCCTAGTGTGGCTCCGCCTTCATCTTCTACTCGTGAAGACCAACTGAAGTTACACACAACTCTAATTTCTCAATGGTGACTACCTTCGTTAATATGTCCATCAGATTTTCACTCCCCAAAATCTTCATTAAGTGTAACTTTCCGTCTTCAATTAGCGAGCGTATGAAATGGTATCGTACGTCGATGTGCTTCATTCTGGCATGATAGACTAGATTCTTGGAAAGATGTATAGCGTTCTAGCTATTACAATAAAGAACTCCTCTCCCTTATTTCAGATCTAACTCTTCCAAGCACCTGTTCAACCAGATCATCTCCTTGCTTGCTTCAGTCACCACGACATATTCAGCCTCGATTGTAGATAAAGTCACAATCTTCTACAGACGTGAGACCCAGTTTACTACTGTCGACACTAAGATATAAACATACCCCGTGGTGCTTTGTTTCATATCATGATCACCCGCGAAGTCCGCATCCACGTATCCCTGCAGCACCAGCTCCTTTCTCCTGAAACATAGTGGCTTGTTTGTTGTCCCTCTCAAGTACTACAATATCTACTTCACGGCCTCCCAATGCTACTTCCCTGGATTGCTTGTAAACCTGCTCATAACTCCCACTGTATGGGCAATGTCCAGCCTCATGCAAACCCTGCTCATATGCTCTCTCTATGCATCTGTCTTAGGTGATTGCTTCTCAGATAACTTGAACTGGTTTCCAAGGGGTGTGCTGACAACCTTAGCATTCTGCATATTGAACCTCTGAAGTACCTTCTCGATATATTTAGCTTGGCTCAACCTCAACGTCCCTTCAGCTTCATCCCTACTGATTCGCATCCCTAGAATTATGCTTTGTTACACCCAGATCATTCATTACAAACTCCTTTACCAGCTGCTTCTTCAAACTGTTTTCTTCTAAACACGGTCCTGCTACTAACATGTCATCAACATATAATAACAATATAATAAAGCTAGACTCGAATATCTTGAAATAGCAGCAATGATCCGAATTGCATCTTGTGTAGCCATTATTTTGCATGAAGTTATCAAACTTATTGTACCACTGTCTCGGAGCCTGTTTCAAACCATATAAGGCCATTATTTTGCATGAAGTTATCAAACTTATTGTACCACTGTCTCGGAGCCTGTTTCAAACCATATAAGCTCTTCTTGAGCTTGCACACCATCTCTTTTATTGTACCACTGTCTCGGAGCCTGTTTCAAACCATATAAGCTCTTCTTGAGCTTGCACACCATCTCTTCCTTACATTCTTTAATGAAGCAAACATGTTGCTTCATATAGATTTCTTCATCCAAGTCACCATGAATAAAGGCACTCTTCACATCTAACTACTCAAGGAAAAGGGCTTCTGCAGCCACCAAGCTCAACATCACCCTGATGGTTGTGAGCTTTACAACGGGGAAAAATATCTCTATGTAGTCCACTCCTTCCCGCTGTTGAAACCCCTCTACAACTAATCTGGCCTTAAACCTCTTACTTCCATCACTCTCTTGCTTGACTCGATAGACCCATTTGTTATGCAAGACCTTTTTCTTTGCAGGTAGTTGGGCTAATTCCCATGTCTCATTAGTGAGTACATAATACATCTCCTCCTGCATCGCATGCTCCTACTGTTGAGATTCACTCACTTTCATAGCCTCCTCATAGCACTCAGGTTCACCACTATCTGTCAACAATAAGTAATCAAGAGATGAAAGATATCTAGGATTCGGTTTGGGTATCCTGGATGACCTCCTAAGCTTCACGCCCTGGGTAGGTGCTTCTGTACTTGGAGCCTCCTCCATTTTTCAGTCAGAACAAACATCATCACCCCTATCTATAAGTTCCTCTAAATCCATGTACTCGGATCCACCTACATCCGAAGTACTGCTCCCACTGCTTTGGCTATCCTTGGTATTTTTCATGTCCTTGTACATCACCTCCTCATTGAATATGATGTCTCTGCTCCTGATGATCTTCCTGTTCTTCTCATCCCAAAGACTATATCCGAACTCATTAATGTCGTATTCAATGAATGTGCACTTCTGTGACTTAGCCTCTAGCTTGTCGCTGACATGGTCACTGATATGAACATAAGTCATGCAACCAAATACCCACAAGTGTGAGAATTTTATCTTCTTTCCACTCCAAACCTCCTCTTGAATCCCAAAATCTAATGGAACTGATGGTCTATGATTAATAAGGTAAGCCGCTGTATGCACCGCATCTGCCCAAAATATCTTAGGCAGACCTACATGTAATCACATGCTCCTGGCATACTCCGTCAAGGTCCTGTTCATCCTCTCCGCAATGTCATTCTGCTGCGGTGTCCCTGGAGTAGTCCTCTCTAAGCGAATATCATTCATAGCACAGAACCTCTTGAACTACTCCAGCTCGTATTCTCCACCATTGTCTGATCTCAGATACTTCACCTTCAGATCTGTCTCGTTCTCCACGATAGTCTTCCACTTCTTGAAGACTCCAAACACCTCTGATATGTACTTCATGAAGTAAACCCACACCTTCCTTGAGTGATCGTTGATAAAGGTGACATAGTATCTCGAACCGCCAAAAGAAGACATACTGGCTGGACCCCATATATCTGTATGAATCAACTCAGGTTCTAAGACCTAGGTGGCCTTCCACTCTTTTGGAAACTAACCCTCTTATGCTTCCCAAAGATGCAGTCTTCACAAACCGTGACTTCCACGGAGTCGATCCTGGTTAGCTTTCCTTGTGAATATAAGATCTTCACCCCCTTCTCGCTCATGTGCCCTAGCCTGTTGTGCTACTGATTTGTACTCTCTTTACCAGCTATAATTGCAAGGGTGTCACTCATATGTGAGGTGAGGTAGAGAGTCCCTAATTTATTATCTCAAGCAACTACCATCGTACTGTTGGAGATTCTCCATGAATCCTCTGTGAATATCAAAATATAGCCTTCTGCTCCAAGCTGTCCCACCGAAAAAAGATTCCTCTTCAGCTTCGGTACGTGTCTCACGTTCTTCAAGTTCCACTTAGAGTCATTCATCTGAATATGCACATCGCCATTTCCAAAAATATTATAGGGCTCATTGTCCCCCAAATAAACTTTTCCAAAGTCTTCTGCTACATAATTCTGAAGAAGCTTCTTATTAGCAGTGGCGTGGAAAGAGGCTCCTGAGTTGATGACCCAAGAATCCGAATTGCTATTCATGGTAGGCTGTCTAAAAATCACTACAGATAGTTGATCCTCATCAAACACCGATGATGGAAGTTACAATTTGACGGTTTCTAGAAGACTACAATTTAAAGACTTTCATGTAGATCGATGAAGGTTATAATCTGACGACATTCACAATAACCAATGAAAGCTCTGATCAATAGTCTTCACAATCAACAATGAGAGTTACAACCTGATGACTCTCACATATCAAAGAGTTAAAGTAAATATTACAAAACAACAATCTTTGCAACGCTCTGACAAAAAAAAACTACAAATTGATGGTCTCCTTAAATCAAGAAGAAAAAGTCCTCCTCGCGTTTCAGCATCAAGATGCAGAGGTCCTCCTCACGTACTAGCATCAAGACGCACCACGTTCATAGCCGCTAACGCAGTACAAATGTAGCTCCCACGTACCGCGTTCACAGCCGTTGACATAGAACAAACACATCGCCAATTCAACCACGGACGCAGCTCCTTATCAGCTATCGCTGATGTAGCTCAAACCCACAGACGCAGCTCAAACCTAGCTACAAACGTAGCCTCCAAAAGCTGCCAACGCAGCCTCTGAAAGCTGCCAATGCAGCTTCTATCCACTGCCAAGTACAGCTTCCAACAAGCTGCCAACGCAGCTTCCAAATTGCTACCAAACACAGCTTCCAAGTTACCAATGTAGCTTCTAACAAACTGCTAACACAGCCTCCAAATGCTGCAAATGCAGCTTCCAGATGCTGTGTTTAAACGCAGAATTCATGTCAGAATGCAGGACCTGCATTTGACTCGTTCAAACATGAGTTGAACGGTTCCAAAAACTGTTTTCTCCCCACGATTTGAGGGATTTTTGCCCCACGTAGGAGTGGATTAAGGGGGCGGTTATACCCCACTCAGCCCCACTTAGGAGCGAATTAATGGGGCATTTACACCCCTTATCCCTAATAAATAACTGAAAAACCAGTTTAGAGGGGGATCTTTGGATCTTTAAGCATTTTTGGATTTAGAGATCAGCAAAGGAATCTCTAATTCATCCTCTTTCGGCAGCTAAAAAAAGTGTAGATCAATCTTGGAAGATCAAAATCACCAAGGAGATCGGCATTCATCCTTGGGAGCTATTCTTGGAGCTTTCATTCTTGGCTTATAACCGATTTTTGGTTTAAATCAACTCTGTTACAGAGTTTAAACTCACTCTGAGTTCTTAAACTAGTTAAGAGTTTCAAACTTGCCACGCAAGTCCTCCTCTACATCAATCAAGAGGAAGATACCTTGTTCAAACGAGGTAAAACGTCGGATAATCAACGAGAAGCAAACTCGATACGAACATCGAGGGAGGCATTTCATCACCACCGTGAAGAACTTAGTCTTAAACAAAGGGGAGAATTTACATGAATTCTCTTCTCTTTTGTAATCGGGAATTCTAATTGTAATCGAGATTAAGAGAGTTATAAACATTCTTTTTCTAAGCAGTTAGAGGGAATAAAATCAAATTCAATTCTTTCAATTTTCTTATTGCATATTTTCCTACAAACATTCATAGCAAGGATCAAAGCATCCTGCACGATATGAGCCTCCTGCTCACCTGCATCCTTCTTTGAACTATTGCAGACTGAAGACATATGGCCCTCCTGGTCGAAGTTCCAACATTTCTTAGGCCTAACCTTCGAGTTCGATCTCTTCTTCACTGACTTCGATCGATTCCTATTCTGGTTCCCTTTCTTCTGTCTTCTGCCTCTCTGCTAGAAGTTTAGAGCTGAACCTGAACCTTCTGATTCAGATGATTTTTTTCTAACCTCCTCGAATAGAATCATACTGATCACCTCACTCAGCTTCAACTTTTTCTTCCACGCCGAATTACTGATTGTCGTCACACAACCTGTCTAACTATCCGGCAACTGCGGTAGTAATAAAAGGGCCTGCACTTTGTCATCGAACGTGATGTCTATAGAGATAAGCTAATCAACAATCATGTTAAACTCATTGAGGTGCACCGTGAAGGATCGTCCTTCTGCTATCTTGAGGTTGAAAAGAGTTTTTACCATATGCACATTTTTTGCTGCAGACGGTTGCTCGTACATCTTCGCGAGCGCTTCCATAAGCACTATCGTTATCTTCTCCTTTAAGATATTATGGGCTACTATCTTGGCGAGCGATAACCGGATTTGCCCTAGAGCCTTCCTATCTAGTATCTCCCAATCATCGTCAGACTCCTCTTTCTTCTGTCCCTTATCCTTACCCATCAACGGGTGATACAAGTCCTTCTGGTACAGATAGTCCTCTATCTGCGACTTTCAGTAGGCGATGTCTGAACCATCAAACTTCTCAATCTTAGATTTGATTTCCTCTGCCATGGCTTTCTCACAAATTGCTGAACGAAGCTCTGATGCTAGTTGTTGGGGATTTGAAATAATCAAATCGAACCCTTGTCCTTCCAGACCTTGTTAGAAAGTTGAGTAAGAAAGAAATTCACCACAAATTAAAGATAAAAACTTGTAGGAATAGTAAAAGAGACGAACACACATATTTAATGAGGTTCGGCAACGTGCCTACGTCCTTGGGAGCCACACCACACAATCTATTTGATTAATTGAAGAAAAAATACAAGCACTCAAACTAGGGTTTAATCTCTCTGAGATTCTCTCTCTTTTTCTTCTCTTCTGATAGTTTTTCTCGTCCTTATTTAGCCCTAGAAACATATATGTATATATATGAATCACAGCCCAAACAGAATTAAAAACAGATTAGGAAACTGCCAGCTCGACTCGCGATCGACCACTGAACCAGTCGCGGTCGACCGTAAAAAGTTTAGAAACTAACTCAACTCTAGGGTTCAAGCACGGTCGACCGCACTAACCGCCACGATCGATCGAAAAAAAATCCAGAGACTTTTTTAGTTTTTGTGCATGTTCGCGGTTGACCACCGAGAGCACCGCGGTCGACCGTACTGTAGTTTCCTGTTTCCTTCGTTTTGCTTCATCTTCTTGATTCCAGCTTCAGCTTCAGCTTTGGGTCTACACTTAGACTAACAGTGACAAGACTGGAGGTCCACCAGCTTTTGTTGAGGTCCCTAAGCTTGTATCTCGAAATCCTACATTTCCTGAGAGTAGTGGCATGCTAATGGACACATTGGTCCCTCTTATTTATAGATTCGGGGATGAGAGAACCAAGACAAGAGCAATGCTTTGTGAGATATACAATAGTGCTATCTTTGATGAGTTCTCAATTGCTCGTGACCTTATGTCGATGAGTTTTTTGCAAGAAGGTATTCAGCTCATGGATATATCTTCTCAGATTCTACTCAACAGGGCAACAATACAACTTGGTTTATGTGCTTTTAGGGCGGGGCTTATTTATGAAGCACACGCGTGCTTGTCGGAAGTTTATGGAGGTGCAGGTTAAGGAGTTGCTCGGACAAGGTGTATCTCAAAATCGATACAAAGAAAAAACTTCTGAACAGGTACTTTCTCTTATTTATGGTATTTACCAATTTTATTGATACTTATTTTGTTCAAACTCCACATTACCGGCCATTTACATGATTACATCTTTTATTTGGAAATAATGGCTTTGCATACCGGTTTACATTCATCAAATTGAACCTCTAGATTTGGATTCCTCTTTATAATTAGGATGTCTACGCGTATGGAGAAGTTTTTACGAAGGCCACATATTTTTGATGTGTTCTTCCCAGTAAATTCTTTTGTTTTCAGCGATACTTGTAATTGCTAGTTTTATTTTATACAAGAAGATGCTTGTCTATAACCTCTCATCTTGTTCTAGGTAGTAAAGAAACAGTAACTACTGGAAGACACTAACTACCTACGAGGAATATATTATGACCTCCTACGGCTATCCAAACCTACCCGGGAAGCTCTACGAGAGGCACTAGCCGACTCAAAGGCTTTTCCATGCATTTCTCGCATACTTCGGAAGAGGACGCGGAGAAAGGGTGTCTATAATGCTACCAAACATCTAGATAACAGATTCCCTATATTACCTTCACTCCTGAGGATATGCTCATCAAGAGTACATCCTACGACCAACCACTGTACTCCCGGGATACGTCGACTCCTCTCGAGTGGACATGATCCAAGTAGATCCAGGGTCTGCACTGAGATTTACCAAGACTCTAAACTAAGAAACGAGCCACTAGTTGAGGAACCTGGTAGTGGCAATGAGGCCGATTGTGAGTCTGAGTGCAACGAGGGTCTTGTCTTGAATAATATTGAACCAATTGTAATCGACTATGGGGGCCTTGTTGTAACCAACACTGACGAAGCGGATAGGTTCCTCCTGAATGAAGATCCTGACTGATTAGTTGTCATCTAGTTCAGAGTCTAGTAATGATGACTTTAGCAATTTGGTTGTAGAGTTATATAATAACTCTTCTTTGCACTTGTTCGTGTACTCATTGTTGGTCATAGACAAACAAACAATCGAGTCCTTACAAGCGCTCGTCGTCGTACCCGCCCGAGATAATTATCAGAAAGATATTATCTTTGGAAGGATAGACCAGCCTATGCGCATAATGTGGGACGAGTCAGATGATGACGAGCCCGCTCCTCAATTCTCGCACTACGATTAAATCACGAAGCGTATGATGGAGAGCATGAGTTATGACTTCACCCACAAGGAAGGCTTGAATTATAACAAAGGGCAAAAGACGCTTGTTCGACCTGCTTATGTTCCCAAAGGAAAGCCCGACAACTACTTTGGCAAAACTCAAAGAGGGTTGGGTTACACCTCCTCTTCATTAGAGTTATATTGCAATTTCGGTGAAGATTCCAAAGATGGTCCTTCCGGAGAATTATTGTTAACATCCTCGATGTGGGATTTAGATGTTAGTGTGGGAGATCTCTTCAGGGACCTCACAATCAACATGGCTACGGTCGATCCCACCGAAAACAGAGAGGATGACCAAATTCTGCTTTATGATGAAGCAAGAGATCGCTACGTCAGCGCCCAATGGAGTGGTCAGTTTGAACAACGTGAACCACCCACGGAGGACAAGATACTCCAAATACATATGGGAGATGAGGCTAATCCTAAGCACATATTTATCAGCGACAGCTTACCTACCTAGGAGAAAGAAGATCTTATATCCCTCATTCGGGAATATATTGACGTCTTCACCTGGAATTACGAGGACATGCCTAGCATTGATCCCCAGATCGCCATGCATCACCTCAACATCAACTCCGACACCAAACCAGTCAAATAATAACAAAGATGGTTTCATTTATAAATCATGGAGGCGATTGAAGACGAAGTGAAGAAGCTGATTGTAGGAATCAAAAATTGCCTATAGGTTCCCACACGCAGCTCGAGATAGAGAGAAGACGATGAACGTCATTATCCGAGTCAAGGAAGATTATTTGGTATCAACAAGTATATGAAGTGAAAATCGATGAAGCGTACGAGTCAACGGAATGACAAAATACGTAAAACAATAGAACAAGACAAGTCCAGAGAAGTCAGAAAGTGCAAAACGCTTTAGAATGACTCGCATGCGCGGATCACCCCAAGGTGACCCGCACACGAGCGGGTCACCTTAAGGTGACCCACACAGTGACCCACACATGGCCACGTCACCTTAAGGTGACGCGCAAGCTAGCGGGTCACATTGACGTGACTCGCACCCGAAACCTCCAAGATGTGTTTTCAACTATTTTCTCAGGATTTGTTCATTCAAAAAACCTCCTAACTGCTTGGATATCATCATTAAACATGGTTAGACCATTGCCAACTGGAGATATGACCAAATATTTATTCTTATCCAAATACCCTGCATTCGAAGACCTATAAATACAAGCCTAGGGGCTCATTTCTCCAGATCTAAAATTTTGGGTGCAGTGCTATTGGTTTGAAGAGTGATCGACAAATTTCAGAGAGGGCTAACAGATCTTGGTGAATCCCAGCATAAAGTAGGAGCAATTCAAAGGATCTGAAGCCCCGTCCACCCTTTCCTTAAGATCAGACTTAAACTTGATCTTGAGAAGAGTCATAATCTCACTTGTTTGAGATTATCACTTATGTTCTTATTTCCTTTGTGAAGTAACAAACTTCTAGCCTTCCGATTAACTGGATCTGATCCACGATGGTCCACGGATAAACCCCAATACAGACAAAGATTCCACGCAAACAGAGACTAATAAATAGGATCTGTGTGTTGTTTGATAAAGTAGTAATCTTTTATTTTTTTATTGTGTAAGAAGATCTTATAAAAAGATCAACTTTTCTATTTTTTTTTTGAATTTGTAATCAATAAATGATTGTAACAGGTTCAATGACAATGAAAAAGGCAACTTTTGAACCAAACACTGATCGAGTCAGGCTTCATCAGAGAGGAACAACACCCACATTGGGTGGCTAACATTGTTCCAGTCTTGAAGAAGAATGGAAAGATCTATATCTATATCAACTTCAGGGACATCAATGCTGCATATCCAAAAGACGAATTCCCTTTACTTATCACAGGCGTCATCATCGACAATACTTGTGCGTTCGAAAGGATGTTCTTCATGGACGGATTTTCAGGGTATAATCAAATCAAGATGCACCCTGAAGATGAGAAGCACACTTCGTTCAAAAATCCAGTAGGGGTATATTGTTACATAGTTATGTCCTTCGAACTTAAGAATTCTGGCGTAACCTATCAGCACGCCATGAGCATAATTTTTCGAGATCATCTGCGAAAGACAGTCGAATGCTATGTAGATGACTTGGTTGTGAAGAGTCATAGCAAAGATGATCATCTTCAAGACCTGAGAATGATGTTTGAGCTGATGTAATCCCATCAACTTAAGATGAACCCCACGAAGTTATTTTTGGGGATGTCGAGCAGCAAATTCCTCGGATTCATTGTCACGACGAACAAAATTCACATAGACCCTAACAAGGTGAAAGCTATTCAAGAGCTTCAACCACCCAGGAATCTCAAGGAATTGAGAGGACTGCAAGGCCGTCTGGCTTACATCCGAAGATTCATATCAAATCTTTCGGATAAGTGCCAACCCTTCTCCAAGCCAATGAAGAAAGGTGTTTGCTTCGTATGGGATGAGCTTTGCCAACAAGTGTTCGATGAGATCAAGATTTATCTCTCAAATCCACCTGTCTTGGTGGCCGCGGTCTTGGGGAAACCCTTCCTAATTAATATACGAGCGATGGAGCATTCTCTTGGTGCTCTCTTAGCACAGAATGACGATGTCGGCCATGAGCAGGGCATCTATTACCTAAGTAGAACCTTATAGGGAGCCGAACTGTGATACCCATGGTCAAAAAGGAGTGTTTAGCCTTGGTGTTTACAATTCAAAATATACGACACTACCTGGTTGGTCAAACCATACACGTCATCTCCCAAATAAATCCCATCCGAATCTTCATGATATAGCCCGGGTCCTTAAATTGGCACCTGGTAAGATGGGCACTCCTGTTGTCTACATAAGACATACACTTCATGTCGCAGAAGCCTGTCAAAGGACAAGTAATCTGTGATCTCATGGCCAGTCATCCGCTCGAGTCGAAGACTGATCTATTCGAAGATATGTCGGATGAAACCCATGAGGTTAATGCAACCTCACAGGAAGAAGTTTGGTGATTGTACTTCTATGGAGCACCTCGCATAGGCACAAGCGGGTCTATCATTGCAGGGGTGGGCATGGTTTTGGTTTCTCCTCAAAACCACGTATTATTCCGAGCTTTCTCTTTAACTGAGCCATGTACCAATAACATGGCTGAGTACAATGCGCTACTCATCGGACTCGACTTCACCAAGGAGTTGGGGGCGAGTCATCTCGAAGCTTACAGTGACTCTCAACTCATCGTCAGACAGATGACAGGGGAATACGAAGTCAGAAATGATGACTTAATCCCATGTCATAAAGTGGCTATCAAACTAGTCGAATCATTCGAAAGCTTCTACATTGAGCATGTGCTTCATTCCAAGAACACACATGCGGATGCCCTAGCATCATTGGCAGCTAACCTAGCTCAACCACTGGGAACAAGTCAATGAGTCACATTCGCAAGCTGACAACTCTTCCGACCAGAGTATGTTCTGGAAATGAATGCAACTCACCAGGCTTCGGGTCAACTCAAACCGAGAGATTAGCGTTTCCTAATCATCGACTATGTCTTATATAGTATACTACCTTAAGACGTAAATGAGCAAGATTCTGTTAGCAAACGCGCTCTGAGATTCTACTATGATTCAATAACAAAGGTGTTGTATCGTAAGTCATATGACGACATGTTGCTTCAATGTCTCTCAACGACAGAAGCACATGAAGTCCTACGGGAAGACTATGACGGTACCTGCGATGCCCACTAATCCAGACCTAAGCTCTAGGATCGCTTGCGAAGAATGTGCTATTATTGGCCCAGAATGATCAATGACATTGTTGCTTATACCAAGCGTTGCCCATGCGTGTCAAATCCAAGCCAACTAAATTCACAAAC